CCCGGCCGTGCCCCGCGGTGCCGGTACCGCCGCGTCCCGGCCGTGCCCCGCGGTGCCGGTACCGCCGCCCGGCCGTGCCCCGCGGCTGCTCCCGGTGCCCCGCGGGTGTCTTGGCCCAGCCCCTGTGAGCCGGTCCCTGCCCGGGGTTTATGGGCACCATTTGGGACCCTTTTACACTTCCCGTATGCAGATGCCGCATCTGCACTTGAATGTCCCTGCCAATTTTTATGGTTTACAATTGCATTTTACCATCTTGAGGTACTCGGGTTCTCTACAAAGGGTTTGCTCAGACAAAAGAGGCTTTTTATCAGGCAGCATCCTCGGTTTTCGAGATACAGGCGGTACCAAAAGATAGGCAGTGTGGGAACTGCAGAAATGGGCATTTCTGTACCTGCCCTGATGTTGTAATGCTCAGTTGTCCCTGGAAGCTCTTTATTCCTTCTCACTTGATTAGATGTCCAATTGGATGAAAGACACTTAATACTCTTAGATACTTTAATAACACTCTAATAGCACTCTTAATGCTTTAATATAGCCTTAATAGTTTCTGAACTTTCTGATTTAATTTGTGAAGTGTCTGTTGCTTTAGTGTCCCTGGGAGTGCAGCGATATTAATGCTTTGTCCGCATTTGCTGTTTTTCCCACAGATGCGGGATTTTGAAGGAAATCTCTTTTGATTAATCAGATTAGCTTTAAGAGTTTCTTGCGTAGCTGTTTCTTGTGACAGATGTACCTGTGGCTGTGGTTAGTCTTTTGAATGGGTGATGTAACAACCTTTTACTACTTTGCCTTCAAAAATGTGAAATACTGTTGCGGTGTTGAGACATTGCCTGACCTTCAGTCTTTCTAAAGCCTCTGGGGGAGGAGCAGGAAAGATTGGGTTGTTAATTCATGCTTTTATAAAATACCCGCAAATGATAATGCCAAATGATGACTCTGAATGTTTTGTTTTCTTAAGAAAGATTCATAGTACTTTTGATACATTGAGGAACAGCATCTTAACGGAACCAGTGAAAATTGTATGAGGACAGAGGCACAAAAGTCAGACTGTATTCTTGGTGTTAAAATGTTAATGATAAAATCATTAATGAACTTAAGCTGTGCACGTGGCTTCTGTGTTAACCCGGAGTAAACTGCTGCAAGTTTATTGGCGCCTTCAGTGAGAGAAGCCTCAGGATAACTTTGAAATGCAGAGGTGTAGTTTTATTTCAGCAGTTACAGGCAATTGCAGCCTCATTATTTGAGGGGACACTTGACGTTCTTAGAATATAAGATGATGGTTTTCCCTTGCCAATTTGAGTACTTCCTCTTCCATGTTAGAAACATATTTTGTCATTGAGCAAATCAATAGCAACTCATAAAGCCTTTTTTTTTTTTAAAGCAGTTTCATTAAGGCATTTATTTTTCTTGCAGTAGTAGCAATTATTTCTCAACAGGGTCCCATTTAAAATCAGTCTTGCTATAGCTTCAGTTGGCATCTTTTTCCTCTGTGAGTGAGACACGATGGCTTTTACGTAGTTTTAATTATTTTATGTCTTAGTTAAAATAGGGACACAACAGATTAGCTTGAATTAAGGTAGCTTTGGACACTTTGTTGTGTACTGTGGTCTTGGATTTATCAGGAAACTAAACAGAAAACTTGAATTTTGTGTTCCCGTAAAACGATCAGAGTTTCAGATGGGCAGATTACTGATCTGGATAAACTTCATACCAGAGAAAAGAGGAAAGTTGTCAGAGCACAAAGAATGTAAGGTTTTCAAAGAAAAATCCCTTTGCCTGCATCCCTTCCCTTTTCCACAGCATTCCCAAACTTTACTGGCGCACACTGACATTTTTAGTGGTTCTTTATGCTTGGTTGCTTTGCATCTGATGAGATAAGCCTTTGCTTAACAAAGACTATTTCATTGATATAGTTGGGTCTTAGTTTACTTGCTATAAACATTTCTTTGAAGATTTAGGAAGAAAAACAAATGGAGTTGTCGAATGGCAATGCTGCTGAAGTCAAATGTCTCTGAATAAACAAGAAGCTACAGTGTTATTTCAGCTCAGTGTTGGCTTGTTGAATGTGGATGTTTCTTGCTTTTGTAAATAATAATAGTTCAGAATCCTATGCTTTATTTTCTCAGTTCTGTGATGGGAAATGAAAGATTTGTAATTTAGGAACAACTTAACTCCTTTGTTTGATTTGATGGTAAAGATGAAAAAATACCTCTTGGTATAAAGTTGGAATTTGGTATTGATGGCTTCTGTAGATCATTAATCAGGAAAATGGGTTTATGCATGCCTTTTTGTGCTGAGCCCAGGACTAGTGCTGTATGTTGAGCAGCTGCAGTGTGTGATGTGACACTGCAACAACAGGATTTTTTCCCTGCTTTGCTATAAAACAGTATAAAGATATTGAATTATATAAAATGAGGGAACTTTCCCATCTGGGAGATCAATTCTTGGGAAGCAATAGCTATCTTTCTGCCCTGCCTCTGGCAAGTCCTTTGTGGTATTTCTTTTTTTTGGTAGGGAAAATGTGCCAGTGGTTTATTGAATTACTGTTCAACTCCTACGTGGTAGAGCTTTGAACAGATGCATTTACACCAGCATTCTGTGAGAATGGGAGCACAGTTTATCCTGTTGATAAACTGCCTATTTAAATAAAGCCTTCAGCAGTGTAATCTGGTAATTCTAATTAAGTCATTTACATAGGGAATTGGCCCAGGGTTTCATCAGATGGCTGCTGGGGAGCTGAAATGCATTCTTTCCCTCCAGCTGTATTAAACCAGCCTTTTGATCCTGTCCTTTTTTTAGCCTTTAAGCCAAAGTGGTTATCACTGTGCAGAGTTAATTGAGAAAGGGAAGTTGGGGGACAAGGGGACCCTTCGAGCTTTAGCTTTGGTCTTAATTATTACAGTCCTAATTACGTAATTAGAAGACTTCCAGATTTTATGTGTTGATAAAAATGATTCTGTACAGGTTTTGTTAGAAAGAGGAAATACTCCACGGAGAGGCTGGCTTCAGTGAAGTTCTTTATTGGTAAATGATTGCCAATAACTTATCTTGAAAGCAGTATATGCCTGGGGTATCTGAGTTCTCCCCAGCACTTGGATAAGGAGGTTTCATTTACCCAGGGTGGACCCTGCGTCCTTCAGAGAGCACAAGTTACATGTCTGCCTTCCATTGCCTAATCATCCCAGCTGTAGGCTTGTAGAGGTGGTGAAATTTAGAGAAATGTCTGGTCAGTATGAAAGATTAATTTTTTAAACCCCTTTTTTCCTTTGTAAAAAACAAACAAACAAACAAAAAAAAAAAAAAAAAAAAAAAAAAAAAAAAAAAAAAAAAAAAAAAAAAAAACCAACCAAAACCAGTAAAAATCTATCACAGCTCCAACACCTCACACAGGCTGACTGCAAACTGCTGTAATGTCCTTGTCTGGAAATACATCCCAGGTGAAACTTGAGAGGAAACCTTCAATGGTTTTTTGGGAACATAATCTGGATTGTGATGTCCCTTGGACAGTTCTCGTGTTGGATAAAGCCTCCGTGGCTGCTCCTGCAGGAGAAGTGGGGTGCAGTGCCTGAAGGGGCTCGTCGTGGGGGGCTCCCTGCGCTGCTCACCCCTGAGCTGGGATGGGCTCCTGGCAGAGCAGGGTTTATTCTGACCAGCTGCTGCTCAGC